TCTCTCCAGCCGCCAACACTCACAGTTGAGTAGCCAGGCTCTCACCAAAGCAGTGAGTGTGACCCCCCAGGCTGTGCTCCCTGGGTCTGGCTTTGTCCCAGGGGAGACAGGGAGCTGCACCCTTCCCTGGCTGTGCCTCTGGAGTCACCAGGAGTGGGAGTGTGGCCGTGCCTCTGGCCACAGGCAGCAGCTTTTGGTCAGGACCAGCTCATGCATTGTTGGGTGCAATATTTCCTACATGAGTTACAGGGTGGAGGGGAGAGAAGGACACCTCCCCAAAAATGCAGTTTGTTCCCTCAAACCTTTTTTTTTGTTGTTGTAGCAGTCATGCTTGTTGTTTTAGGGCCTGTTTGTCTGCTGTTTATAAAGAGAAAGCTTTGCCTTAAGTTTAACTCTTTGCACTATGGACTAGATACTGAGCAGATTAAAGTCTCCTTTACCAAAAGATGCCTTTTTCTTGGGAAGGGTTTTCTTGTGGTTGTGTCTCCATCACTCCCCACTAAAGGTCAGAGCTGGAGGATCAACACCACCAGCAAACTCAGGGGTGTTTGCTCCCAGAAGGGCTGTGCTGTGGGATATCCCGGGGCCAGGCTGCTGCACAGGGAAAATCTGGCACCCAGGAGATGAATCTACACCCAAACCCACTGTGGGTGGGCTTTCCAGAGCTCCCAGCCCCTGCTCTGCCAGGAGGTGGTTGTGGATATGTCTGTGCAAGGGGACAGGGAGGAGGGGCTGGGATTCCCCAGCATGTTCCAGGCTGGCAGGAACATGCTCAGGGACATGTAATCCCTGTTCCTGCATGTCCTTGGTGCCTCAGTGTCCTGTGCTGGCAATCCTCAGACTATCCCAGGGATGGAGGGAGCACGGGGCTTGGCCTTGCCTCACTCAGGGCTACTGGGGAGCAGATACATTTGCTTCACAATGAGCCACTCCCTGGCCACGACCTGAGCTCCTGGCAGGTTGCTTTGTGCTTTTAAGCACTCTGCATCCTTGTAAATTGTTTGGAAAAGCATCTCAGGGCCCTGATGGGCAGAGGCTACAGGAGTTCTGACCCTACCCTGCACTCACCTGCCTTGGCAGGGCCGTGCCAGCAAACTGGCTGATTTTAACCAGGATGAAAACCAACCCCGGGGAGATGAGAGCTTTTGGAAGCCCAGAAAGAGATGGATATCTGCTGCAGGCACAGGGAGGAGCAGCCCATCTGAGCCCTGGGGGGGTCTGGCTGCAGGGGGGTGACAGCCAGGTAAACTGAGGCACTTGCCTTGCTCCCAGGGTGTGACCCGAGGCTGGCTGGGCACCTGGGGAGGCTGCAGAGGAGGAAGGAGCCAGCAGGGGAATGCCTGCCATCCCACGTACAGGCAGGATACTCCCAGCCCTGTCCCCCCCTCCCCCAGAACTCCCAGCAGGGGATGGAGAGGGTTTTCAGCCACCTCAGGCCACTGCAGCTGAGCTGGGAGAGGACAGGATGTGCAGGACACAGCCTTCCCCGGGGAGCCATCCTGCACACGCTGGCCAAGCAGCAAGAAATTGGAGCAGGGAAATGCAACCACCCCCTGGCTGATGGGCAAGGGAGGCTGCTGACAGCCTGCTTTTTGGGGCAGGGCTGCCCTGCCTGGACAACACACACAGACCGGTCCAGGGCAGGAGATCTGGAGTTCCCGGGGGCACTGCCTGCTCCAGGAGCTCGGGAGCCTCATGTGCGAGATGAATGGGCTGCTCTCAGCTCATCAAAACGCCGAGGCCCTTCCCCGGGGAGGGAGAGGAGCGCGATGCTGCCGGGTTACTGCGGTTCAGGAGCGCCGGGCTGGTCGGGGCTGACAGCTTGCCGAAACCGGGGGGCCCCCAGGCCCTGGGAAAATCCCTTTGTCAGCCCAGCTGCGGCTCCCCCGAACTAATGAGCCGCCAGTGCCAGGCTGGGGACAGCAGGGAGCGGGCGGGACAGCGGGGAGCCGGCGGGAGCAGATGCGCGGCAGCAGGAGCAGCCAACGATACCCGGCCGGCAGGGAGGGAGGGAGCAGGTGAGGATCAGCAGCAGAGCCACGGGGGGCCTTTGGGCTGCTCCTGGCACCAGCCTGGCTCCCTCATTAGTGGCTGAGCACAGGGAGCTCCCCGAGCACAGCAGCGATCCCTCTCGGAGCTGCAGTGCCTCGGGGACACGGAAAGGATGAGGCTGATGGGGGCATCGGGGACACACAGCCCAGGGCAGCTTGCACGTGGCTGTGACCAGTGGGGTTCCTGATATCTCCATGGAGGGAGACTCTACTGCCCCTCTGAATAACCCATGCCAAGGTTTGATCACCCTCACAGCAGATGAAGAGCCCTTTGCTGGGCTCTCTCCAGTATGTCCATGTCTTTTACTGGACCTGGTGCTGAGCAGAGGGGATGGGTCACCTCCAGATCACCTCCCTGGAGCTGCTGGCAATGCTCCTGCTAATGCAGACCAGAGGGCTGGTGGCCTTCCTTGCCATAAGAGCACACTGCTGGCTTATAGTAGGCTTGTCCCCCACCAGAAAGGATCCTGGGGATCCTGAGCTCCTTTCCGGCCAGTTAGCCACCAGTAGGTGCTTGTTTGTAGGGTCATTGTCTTTGGAGGGTTATCCCTCCCCAGGTGCAGGACTTGGCATTTCCCTCTGCTGAAGTGGCCCCAGCCCCATCCCTGCTTGCTCAGACAATTCTGCTCCTCCTGAGCCAACACTGAGAACCTGCCACCTGCTCCCTGCTCACTGAGATGGACCACTCCAGTTTGGAGAAGCTGATCCTTTGGCCTCTCGGACACCTCCTCTCACCAGGGCATGGGATCCTCCCAGGCAGATCCCTGAAGAAGCCAGTGCCTGCTCTCCTAAATTCCAGGCTTGTGGTCCTTTCCTTGCCCACTCCATCCCCACCAGAGCCAGGATTGTCTCCTGCCCATTCCCAGTCTAAAGTCCTTACCAGGTCCGCAGTCCTGCTGGCAGAGGTCACCTGGAGATGGCTGGAGAGTGCTCCCTGCACCTTGTCAGCGTTGAAGGCACTGAACCTGTGCAGGTGAACACTGACACCGAAGTGGAAGGTCCAGACTCCTGTAGGGTCTCAGAGATGATCCCGTTGATCTCCAAAGCCACCCAGCCTGCTGGCCTCCTCCAGTGACCTTGCAGTGCCAAGGACACATGTGCTGCTCTGAGAGGATGTGCTGGCAGTTATTTTTGTTTCTAAAAGCCCACAAACAAACCACAAAACCACAAAAAGAAACAACAAAACAACCCAACTCTCCACACAAACCACTGCCTCTGCCAGCTGCCCTGCAGTACCTGTGGGCTGAGCCTGGCTCTTTTATAGGCCTCTCCCCTGCCCTGGCTGAGGGATGCTGGCCCCTCCTAACCTGGGCTCAGCTGGAACAGGGGCTCCAAGCTCTCCTTCCCCAGGGCAGCTTGTAGAGCCCATCAAAAGCAGCTGGAGCTTACTAAGAACTTTCCAGTCTCCTGCGGCTCTCCTTCCCTTTTCCTTATCCTTTCCTTATCCTCTTCCTCATCCTCCCCAGGCACCCCCATGTTCCTCAGGGGGTTCCCAGCAACCCCCACCATGATCCCAGACAAAGACCAAGAGCATCCCAAAGGAGGCAGAGCCCAGAAACTGCTGTGCCAAGCACTGTGCCTGTGTCTTGCTCCGCTGACCGTGCTCCCCCACATCCTGACAGGGACCAGAGAACGCTCCCAGCTCCCACACAATCCCCTCAGACCTCATCTCCAGAAAATTCACTCTCCTCCTCCCAGAATAGACAGCGCTGGCCATCGATCCGTGGCGTTGTTTGCCCCCAGGCAGCTCTGCTTACACAAAAGGCCATCACGAACCCAAACAGATGCTTCCGCTGCAACCCAATCCCGGGCTGGGGGTGAGAGGTGCCCGTGGATCCCTTGGGGGTTCCTTTTGGAGGTGGCATTGTCCATGTAAGGGGGCACAGATGTGGCCCCAGGGCTGCTACCAGTCTGTCCCAGCTCCCAGCCCGCACAGCTGAGCAGGGACACAGGTTTGCTCATTCTGATGGGCACAGCACTGGTGCTGGGGGGCCATCCAGCATGGATGGGGGGAGTGGGGATCTGCGGCAGGGGAGGGGTGTGTAAGGGGGTCCTGGGCTTCTGAGCGCTGCAAGGATGGCCAGAAGAAGCGCCGGTCCCAGCTGGCACCCCACGGCCGGCAGGGCACCGCCTCCAGCCCATCAAGGGGTTCGGCCGCTGGCCAAGAGCCCCCTCCCCCGGCTGGTCCCCCCAGGGACCTATTTCGGGCAGGAATGAGGAAGCTCTTCATTCCCCTGCTAAAAATAGGGACCTTTCCCAGCCGCGGGTCAGCGCGTTCACACTGGGGCGGGGGGCGGGCACGGGGGGCTCCGCAAACTCCGTCCGAGGAGCGAGGGGTACCCACCCCCCACTGGAGTGGGGTCCCTGCTCGCCCCGGACAAGCCCACTGCCCCCGGGATGGCCCTGGTGGCACCGGGACCCTCCCTCCCGGCGAGGGGTCGGTCCTCGGGGGGGACACCGGGGATGCTCCGGCCCCGCTCCCCCCTCCCGAGCCTCGGGGAGGTGCCGGGGGCTGTCGCAGCGCCGCGGCCGCGGTTCAGGGACGCCGCTGCCACCATCTAGTGGCTCCCGCTGGCTCTGCGGGGACAACCCCGGCATCGTGTCCCCGTCCTTCTGTCTCACGTTCCAGGCAGGGCGGCGCAGCCCCCTCCCGCCGTCGTGGCCCCCCCGAGGGCGCCCAGGCAGCCGGCACACGCGTGGCTGAGCAGCCCTTTATTGAGGGTATGGCTGGGGCAGGACGGGCTCCTGGCCCCACAGAGCCGGCCTGGGGAGCAGCAGGGACCGGGCACCGTGCGGTGGGTACCGCACAGCCAGGGCATGGGGGCTCCCCCCGAGCCGAGTGCCCGAGATAACAGTGAGCTCGAGGGGTGCTCCTCGCCACACCCAGCATGGCAGAGGGGCTGTATTCCTTGCCCCGAGCAGGGCAGGGGTCCCGGTGCCCTGGCTCCCACCGCGCTGGGGGCTGGGAAGGGGCACATCCCCAGCCCAGGGCGAGCTCAGGCGAAGACGGGGGAGTTCTGCCAGTAGGAGTAGACGAGGAAGCCGGTGAAGGTGCTGTCCGTCTTCACGCTGGCGTAGAAGCCGATGTAGTCCCCCACTCCCACCTGCACCCACACCTCATCCTCGGGCTCCAGGCGCACCAGGGTGCCCCCCGAGAGCGAGGTGGGCTTGGGCCAGTTCCCGTAGTACTGGAAGAAGGAGGCGACGGTGTGGCCGTTCTTCACGATGTCGAACTGCAGGCTGGTGCGGTACACGGTGGCGTGCACGGCGAAGTAGTAGAGCCCGGGCACCTCGCAGGTGAACTTGCCCGAGGCGGGGTCGTAGTGGCCCTGCTCGTTGATGAGCACCACGTCGAAGAGGATGGGCTGGTCGGGCAGGGGAGGGCTGCGCGACTCGGAGCGCTTGGCGCTGAAGGCGGAGCGAGGAGCCACCGCGCACTCGCCCTGCGCCCCCTTCTCGCCGTGCAGCCCGTCCACGCCGGGGCTGCCCACCTCCCCGCGGGGACCGGGCACTCCTGGGCGGGCAGGAGGGGGACAGGGTTACCTCTAGGACGTCGCCACTGCCACACGAGCTCCCCCAACCACCCTGCCCTGCCCCAACCAGCCACGCCCGGGGCACTGCCTGGGGAAGCAACACAAGTGGGGAGGGCTGGGTGTGTGAGATAAGTTGGCACAGCATCAATGGTTTGTTGGAGATAGCCCTCTGGCTGGGAGAAAACCCACCCTAGGGCCAGGGAAGGGATGATGAAGCCCTCTGCCTGGTGGACTCTCCTAAAGCAGGGCTGGAAGAAAAGGATGACATCGTGGATGGGGACAAATGCAGCTTTGCCAGTGACAGGGAGCTGCTGCCTTTTACAGGATCACAGGGTCACCACAGGCAGCACCAGAGGGGGAGGGTGGCATGGAAGGGGCACTTTTGCAGGATTCACCCTCAGTTTGGCAATGTGGGGCTGTGCCAGCATCCAAGACTCACTCCCTGGCATGAGAGCATTCCCCACAGACAGGGCAGAGCAGAGCAGATCCCTCTCCCCAGCAGGGGTGTCTCCGTTCTTACCAGGAGGGCCCATCTCGCCCTTCTCCCCAGGCATCCCCATGGCCCCATCCCGGCCATCTCGTCCATCCCTGCCTGGCAGACCCTGGCCCCCGTGCAGGCCCGGAGTCCCCGGGATTCCTGGCTGCCCCGAGCACAGCCCAGGGATCTTGTTGTCTTCGATCTGCAAGGAGCTGGTGATGAGCCCGAGCAGGAGGAGGAGGAAGAGCTGCTTCATCTCGTCCACCGTGGAGGGGCTGGAAGGGGCAGAGAAGGGTCGTGGCTCTGGGAACCAGAGCAGAGAGGGCTGGGAGATGGGCTGGCAGTGCTCGGCAGGGAGTGGGTGTGGGGGGTCAGCAGGGGACATTCCCCTCTTCTTTTCCCTTTGCCTTTTTGGCAGCTCCTTGCAGCTGCACCTGCTGCAGCATCCCCACGGCCCGTGTGCCATCCCACCACCCTGCAGCCCCTGGGGTGGCTCCCGGGGTGCTGGGGACAGGGAATTGGGGAGGGGGCTGTGGCACAGGCAGCTCTGGGGGTGTGGCTGGTGGC